TATGGCATTGGAAATGAAAATGAAGAAAAAGAGAAGTCATAGAGATTGGGGGGCTGTCTACAAAGAAAAACCATTTCCTAGATGGACATCTGCTTAGAAAGTAGATCTGTTGATCTGTTCCTGGGCCTACAGAGCAAAGTGAGAAGAATTACAGGGAGTTGACATGACAGAGAAGAGGTAGCACTGGATCATCCTGGCTTCCCAGGATGCAAGTGGACACCACTAAGAGGTACTGAGTTTAAACCATCCTGCCAGCACTCCACCCAGTAAGGCTTCCTGTTAACTAAGAAGACCTCAGCATCAAGTGGCAAGTCATCACAGGACCATCTTCTACAGGGAAGGTCCTGAGGGACCCTCTGAAGTACTTGCATTTGCTATCAAGAGGACAGAGTCATCAGGGAGAACCAGAGTGGCTATGGCAACTATCAGAGTTAGCATCCATTTAAGTAAAGAGCTGTTTTTGCTCATCTCCCATTCCCCCTCTTTGTTTCTTATCCCAAGACAGATGGAAGAAATATGTGCAAGAAGTATTTCAGAAGCAGTCCCAACCATTCCTGAGCCATTCCATGGCAAGGAAAGAAGACAGCAGTTCCCAGCCCAATCCCATTTTAGATACGTGGAGCCATGCACCAAGCCTAAACCAGAGGGAAGGGAAATGAGATTTAAATCAAGTGGATAACCAAAATATTAAATTGCACTGGACTTTTAAAAACAGAAAGTGAATCTTCTGAAGATTTCATTAGGGATGAGAAAAGGGAATTTGACTAGGCATGGCTTTATACCCCACTGAGTTGAGATTTCTCAATAAATCTGTCTTTCAGAGGCTCAAATCTTCCAGATCACTCAAGATGGGTCAATATTCATAATCATCTCAGATATGACTTACCAAGCTCAACCAAATCCAGGCTGACCTCAAAGAAATTATGTACCATGTTAGAGTCAGGGCCCTCTGAGCTCATTTACTATGAGTAAGTTCTCTGAACCCTGATCCCAGGCTGCCTTCCTAGGACACTATCCTCATTACCCATGATTGACATGATCAAGGGTGACAGCAACACCATGGATAATTGGTAGAAATTAGATGGTGAGATCATTGTGGAACATTAGATTGTTGAAAAAAGAGGCCTGGGTTGGACCACCAGCACTCAAATGGCACCTCTTCTGTCCTCATGTTAGTTCTGGGGCTATGCCAGCCTCTCTCAGCATCTATGATTGCATGTGGGTTATTAGTGATAGAGAAGGGATGACTGTTGGCATTGGGCAGAGGTCAAGATTTAAAGCCCACCTCTGATATACTGTATTATTTTCTTCCTGCTGCTGTAACAAATTATAGCAAATTTAATGTTAAAATTAAGCAAGTTATTATTTTATAATGCTAAAAGTCAGAAATCCAAAATGAATTTTGACAGGACTAAAATCAAGGTGCCACCAGGGCCAGTTACATTTGAAAACTCCAGGGGAAAATTCATTCCTTACCTCTTCCAGTTTCTAGAGATGGCTGCCATTCCTTGGTTCCTGGCTGCATTACTCCAGTTTCTGGTTTCTATAATAGCACTGCCTACTCCTTCTGCCTCTATCTCCTCCCCTATTGTAATTGTATAATCTAATAGAATCTCTCCAACCTCAATATCCTTAATCACACTTGCAAAGTCTCTTTTGCAATTAAGGGAACATTTGTGGTTTCCAGATATTAGTACATGGACATATTTGGAAGTTGTTATTCAGCCTACCACACATCTACACTCTGCCTGGCAGCATTACCTGTACTATAATGATCAAGACGATAAGAGCTGGGAGGTCATCTACCAAACTAACATGAACTTGTGTGTCCTCCCTACCACTAAGCCCTCTGTAGGATAAGTCTCCTCTACCAACCTGCAGTCTCACAATCAGAAATGAAATGCAAAACTATTCTGTCTTATACATATGCATCAACAAGACCCAGGAGACAGGATCTGAGACAACTCAGATATTGCTTATGTTACAGGTTATGTTCCAACATTGTCAAAATCCATCTCTTTGCACAGGAGTTCCCTACAATTTTAAGACAATTCTTCCAACTATCCTTCCAGAACTACTTCATCTAATTGTTTCTCACTCTTTAAACCTATCACCTTGAGGGACCTGTTCCAACAGATGTCTGAGAACTTCGCAGAAGGATGATCAAAGATCAGAGGAGACACTCCCACCAAGAGACACAGAATGTGAGGGGATAGGATTTGCCAGAGAATCTAAGCAGGGCAGCACCTCCCCAGAGGTAAATATGGTAAGGGGCCACTAGGATACACACCAAGATACCTTGATATGATTATTTAAGGAGACATGGAAAAGCACATGATCAAAGTTAAAACCATTTCTAGAATACAGAGCTAGGAATCTCTCTTATGACTATTAAATTAATAGACAGGGAAGGTCATTTATTCCTCTCCTGGGTAAGAGGAGAGGGACCAAATTACAAGGAGCAAGCTGTAACTTGGGACAATCAACATGGGAGACACCATCAAGTTGTCTGGAGAAAGTCTGAAAAGCCCTCAAATACACCAGGTTGGAAGAGAGGGGTAGAATAGCAGTCACTGACTTCCCTGGGAAGATGGAGATCCCTAAGGAGAGAGCTGAGTAACAGGAAATTTCAGGGGCCTTTGAGAGAGGAAGAAGGAAGGCCTTTCTTGCAGTCTGAGTGATCTAGGAATGGTTAAGAATTAGTTAGAAAAACAAGGGCCTGAGCCTCATGCCTTGGTCTGCATTCTATCACAATTACTTATAGTCAATGAATATGAGTTTCAATGAGGAGAATCTGATTTTTATTTTCTAGTTGGAACATCCCACACTCCTGACAGCTCAGCTTCACTCATGAGACCTATGCCACCTGGCAGTGGCACTTATGAGGCAAGGGGAAATACTAATGAACACTGTAAGCCCCATCCAAACACCAAAATTATAAGATACCTCACAGGGCAACTGAATGTCAAGTCCACACTGAACCTAGGAGAAAAAGCAGTGAAACAGCTCTGGCCTCAGGTGTTAACACCTGCAAGAATCTCCCCTGAGAAGTACAGGCCCCACCTCTGATCCTTTGCAGCATCTTCCCTCCTTTGCAGCATCTTCTCTCCTCAGCTGTGCCTCTTGAATGCCCCCTACAGCCCCACAGCAGAAAATACAGGCCCCATGCTAAGCTTCAAACCCTGAATGCTTACAGCAGCAGCAACACAGAGAGCTGACATTTATTGTGAACTCCCCACGTGCCAGACACTGCCTGCTTTTGTTGTTTTTTTTTTCCCCACTTCACAATGGATTAACTCCTCCAAACAATTCCGTGAGGTAGATACTATTATTACCTCCTCTCTGCAGATGTGGAAACTGAGATGCGATGCAGAGATATTTGTGTGACACCATGATGAAGTGGTGGAGCTGGGATTCAAACAGTGGGTGGTATGGATGATGAAGACTGCTGCTCTGAAAACTCCTTTTATGACCTTCTGTGCACACTGCCTTGATACATGGAAATAGCACTGCCACCAGCACACAGATATGGAAAAATCCAAAAGAGGTCAGTGAGTGATTCAAGCTGGGCAAGCACTGTCCTTGGCCAAAGGTCAACAGACTGCCTCAAAGCATATTTAAATTTTATAGGGTGAAAGAAGGCAAAATGAAATGTTGTGCCTTGAAGCCCCAGCCCCATTTGATGAAGAACAAATCTGTGAAGCTCTCATGGCCTGTTTCAGATCCTCTGAAAGGACAGAAAGTCTGTCTTCATGCTTTTATCCTGACACTACACCTTACTGGCCAGAGATACCCTAAAACCACCCTGAAATACTTACCTTTTGTTCTAACAGAAGACAGCTGTTAAAATATGGGTATGAGGAGCATCCATAAAATGGAATAATGAGGAAAATGTTGCTTGTTAACTAGCTCTGTGAGAGTCACAGAATTCATGGGACACTGGAACCAAAAGAGGCCTTAAAGACACAGGTCCAGGAGAGTGCATGAGAGGAAGAGGAGTCTGGCTGATTTATCTCAGAGTGTAAGGTCAGTCACGCATAAGTGCTTACTTCACAGTCATATAGGTCCTTAGATGCCAGGCCCTTTGCCAGACCCTGTAGGCATACAGGCCACCAAGCCATGTGCCTGAGAAGAAACATCCTCCGGGAGGGGTTGCCTTGTTCTGATTCACAAAAGACATTGCATGGGATTAGCACCTGAGGACACAATATTGACTAAAGTGTTACCTGCACTTTTAGATCTGGAGACACACACTTCCTGTCTGAATCCAAGTTGCAAATGTATTTGTCTGGCTTTCAGTGCTTTATAAACTAGGAGATTTTATTAGAAATCTGGATGATTCACCTATCTTGCAAAGTAAGATCTAACAATTCTGGGCTTGCATTCCCACTTAGCAATGATCAGCTGAAGTCAAGAAGAGGCTGCGCTTAATAGATGGAACATGTGTTTTCCATTTTGCCACTGTCACCACCACTCCGTATTGTGTCTTTGGCAATTCTAGTATCATTCCTGTGTTTGAATCTTCCCAGTAGATAAATAAGGATGCAATGCATGTGTTCGATTCTCCCAGGTTGGTTGGAATAGACGCAAAGTCTAAAGAGAGGACTGCAAACAATGAAATGTGTGTTGACAGAAGTAAATTCAGAATATGTACTTAGTGGATAAACTAGAACAAGAACCTGGCTTTGCCCATTCATTGTGTCCTAGCCTCCAGCAGCCCAGTCTCCACTGAACACATACAGACAACCATTCCAGTCTGAACAGACACAGTCCACCATAGCCCAAACCATCATGATATTAAAGCTCTGCTTGGGATTCATAGAGGACCCAAGTATGGGGATTCTCCTTATAGCTAACCAACCAGAAATCATAGGTCAGAAGTTGGAGAGAAAGTCATATTCTCTATTACAGCATTAACACTAACCATTATCACATTTATGTGATTTAGAATAATGATCCTAAGTAAACAGAGACATGCTCATCATTCCCCTCCATATTACCTGCAGGAGAGTAGAATGCATGAAGACCATCCATATCAGCAGCCACCAGGGGCTCTTCCAGGAAGCCATGAGATCCGTTAGCCTAGGGGCCTCACTTGCAGTCTACAAAAGAGGAGAGTGTTGGTTTCCAATCAGCTCTGGCCCTAGTCACTTAAAAAAAAAAATCAATCAGAAAAAGGGACCCTGAAGCCCATACAATATCCTGGAAAAGTTTCTGTTGGTCTAAGATGGGGCTGCCCACTGCAGGGTTAGGCAATCCAGGGCTCCCTTTAGGATGGTTCTATATCAAGGACAGGAGGGAGCTAGGCCTGTCTCCAAGAAGCAACTCACACCTCCTGCTCTCCAGAAGCTGAGACATCCCTGCACCAGCCACCTCCCAGCCCATTTGTCAGCGCCAGGGTGTGGCTATTGGCATTTGATTTAGGAAACTAGCATAGAGCCAAGGGTTAGGGCACCTGCCAGCTTCTGTTCCTTGAGGCAAAAACGAATCTAAAACTAATAAAACCAGCCCAGAGAGGGAAGGGAACTGCTGAAGGTCACACAGCAAGACAGTGAGTTTATAGGACTGAAACGCAGGTCTTCTGATAGTTCAAGGCTTTTCCCACTAGATGACACGCAGCGCCCTCTGGGTCCAGAGCCACAACTCCAAGAGCTGAATTGAGGGAGCTTTGGAGGGCACAGACCTGCGACCAGTCTAATTAGTACACTCTCTTAAAAGTAGGTAAGAGCACACCAGCAGAAGTTAGCTGAGACCAGGAGGGCAGCGGGGCACTTTTTTTCCCTGAGTTTTCCTGTCAATTTACGGGGAAATCAGTATGAGTCCAGACTGGAAAAGCCGAGGTCACACTCGACTCTCTCTTCGCCTCGCGGGCGCCTTGGCGGAGCTGGTGTCCGGGGGCGGGTCGGTGGCTTCTCTCCATCTGGAGAAAGCATTAAGGGCCTGGCCTAATGCGATCCGCAAATGTGCTGCTGTTTCCGACCTGAGGCGGCGACTCTGGGCTGAAGGGAGGCGGCCAGAGCCAAGCCCCAAGGCTGTGCGCCCCCCTCGCTACCTCGCACCAGCCATCCTAGCGCACACTCCTACGACTACCCGCTGCCTCGCAGTAGCTCCTCCAGCTCTCTGGCCGCGTCCTCCTCACCCGCACGCCCACTTTCCATCGCACGCGCTTCGCCTCAGTCCTCTGCGCTCTAGGAGCTGGGGACCCAGTTGCCAACCAAATGGACCTTCGGACGCTCGAGGCTACTAGCTGTCTCCAGCCTGCTTTCTACCTAGAAATCCCCAATCCCGAGAAATAGAACCGTGGGGACTGCCTCGATAATCAAGAGCGCCCCTTAGCGCGTGGAGAGTCCCAAAAGACTCTCCCCAAACCTTCCAGGTCCCCACAGAGTCATATATCTAAGCTCCGAAGGGCGTTCCAGTCACGAAGGCCCCTGAGGCCCGCGTAAACCACCACACCCCCGTCTCCCGCAGTGTCCCTCCAACTTGCTTGGAGATGTCACTGCTCTGAGTCTTGTCCCTTTTCTGAGACAGCGTTCCTTTGATCCCCGTAGGCTGTCCCTGTGCCCAATTCACTGCACCCACCTTACACCGCATAAGCTTCTAGGACGTGCAGCTCTGGGGCCGCGTGGGCTCGTTGCGCGCCGAGGAGAGGCGGGGACAAGCGGCCTCGTCCACACCTCGTGCAGAATCCCGGACCAGGACCTTCCCCGACGCCGGCCTCCAGTTCGCGGCGCCGCAGTCGCCGCAGCCGCCGCGAAGTTAAATGGGGCTGGGACCGGGGCCGCCCCGCCTCTCCCGCCCCCTCTGGGCGCGCGGAGCGCAGCGCTGGCCAGGGCCCAGAGGCGGAGGGCGCGCGCCGCCACCTGCGCCGCCCGGCAAGTGCACGGCGCGCCCAGGCTCCCGTCTGCCCGCGTGCGGGCACCGCGCCCTCGACTAGAACCTGGGGCGCTGGGGGCGCGAAGAGACCCGGTGAGGGGGCCGGCTCGGCTGATCCGAGAGCTCGGGGCCGAGGCTACGGCGAGACTCGGCTGGAACGCTCCTCCGCCCGCTTCCTGGAAGCCACTCCTCGCCCTGGGCCGGCCGCCAGGCGTTATGCCAAGAGCCGGGATTGCCGACGCCGCCACCGCCGCAGCCGCCGCCGGCAGGCGCGTTGAGAAAAGGCGGCCGCTGCGCCGTGAGCCAGCCCGGCCGCCCCGCCTCAGCCAGAGCCAGAGTAGGGATGCCGTCGCCCCCTCTCACCTCCCACCGCCTCCACCCATCCCATCCGGGAGCCAGTTCTGCAAAGTCAAGCCCAGCGGCTACATGGAGGTTTGCCTGGGACTGCTAGCTCATGCCTAAGAGCGTTAGGCGCTCCTACCCAGGCAAGATCAGGGTCGGGGATCAGCAGCCCCCTCTCAGTCTGCGCCTCCTCTGCTTCCCGGGGTCCCCAGTGCAGACCCATATAGAGGCGGGGCGGTCCTCCGACACCTAGCTGTCCATATAGTGGGAGACCCAGCAGAGCGCCTCTTCAGCCCAGTAGGCACCCCCTTCTATAAGGCTGATTTGGGTAACAGAAGCCACAGCTGGCGGGATAATGTAGTGTACAGGCCTGCAATTGGGGATGAAGGTGGTCATGTCAGGGGCAGAAGGCCAGAATGAGTTGCCTTGTGGGATTCTAGAAGTTTGGGGAAATGACCTTGGCTTAATCTCAGCAATATACCAGGAGGCTTCCTTATAAGGGCCAGAAGGTCTGCAGGATTATGCCCCCACCTAACTACCATCACAGTCATTGATTGTAGCTGCAGTGCCAAGCTGTGAATCTACTGTAAGAAGGGCATTCTGGCAGAAGTTGGTGGCATTATCCCTTTTCACCTGTGAGGAATCTGAGATGTTTCAGAGGATAAATAACTTGCTGGGTGAATAGAAGCACCAAGACTGGAACCCCAGGTCTGCACCTCTCTAGAATCTGTATTATTCATCCCCACAATTGCTCTCCTTCCTTCCTGGTGTTTGCTCCAATGCAGAAACTATTGCACTTTACAGAAAAGTTGCCCTGCCTGCCTCCTTCACCTGTTCTTCCCATCCTTACTCACTGATGGCTTCCTCTGACACGAGGAGGGTCTCTGAGACTGTCCACTCCAGATAAAATGGCTGGATTCTTTTGGAAAATGAGCAGAGGGACATCAACGTGAAGGAGACCAAGGAAGGGCAGGACTCAACCAGAATTGACTCAACTATGTTTGTGTTCTAAAAAGTTGAACAATGAACTTATGAATACTGAAGCCTCTGGTCACAACATTTTGATCAACCAATTAGCACATTATCTTCCTTTTTGTGTGTTTCTATGTAAAAAGCACCTTACTTAACATACATTGTTGATTGATTGACAGAGCTCAGGGCAACAGCATTACAATTTATGCCCACTGCATCTTGTCTAGTGCCGCGTCCGGCCAAGGGAGCCGAGTCCGGCGAGGGACGGCGAGGTTAAAAGACACACAGGACACCAAGGTTCTTCATCCAGGAGTCAATAATAATCTTTATTGCTAACACACCTTTTTTTATACCCCAAGCAGCAGAAGTGGAAAACTACCCAAAAGCAGGAGGGAGGGGGGAGAAATTTAGTTTCAACATCTATTATTGTCAGGTACCGAAACCTCCCTTAACAATAAGTCCATCAGACCAGAAAAGGTCAAGGCATTCCCGTGGGATACATATGTCTCAGACGGATAAGCAGGAACAGAAAAACCGCAAGTTCGCCATGGCCTTGTGAGCTGGCCACACTGGCATGCAGAACAAACTAGTGGAGGTAGGGCTCCAGGGGCCAAGGTGGACCTGTTGCCAACAAGTCCCCCTCTTTTGTTTTTTGCATGCCAGTGGGAATCAAGTAGCCCCTGTCTTAGGTCGTTCACAGCCCTTGCGATGCTTACCCGTCTCTGGGAAGGCCCCGATTCCCTGGCTTAGGTCGCACAGCAAGCGTGAAAGTTGCCCGTCACTGGGTACTACAAGATCAGCTCAAGGTGTTATGACCTATCAAGACATTATTGCGGTGAACGCTTAACCGTCTCCACCTACGGGACCCATGACCGTCACCGCCGAATGGCAGATGTGATTGGACCGAGAGATTAGACAGCAAAGATCCTAATACAGGAAGGCAAGAGGGAGAGGTATGCATAGAGAAAAGATATGGCAGGAGTTCTTCTTTTAAGGAGGACACTCATCTTCGGATAGGTCTGAAGTATATCTCAGAGAGGCGATCATCCATCTTCAAGCGTTGATAGTGAACCTGTATCGGCTTAGAGGCTAAGATATTAATTTGATCCTTAATGAATTGTACTATCTTATTTACAATGCAGGGTCCTATTGCCACTACTAGAAGGAGGCCTAACAATGGTCCCAATAAGGGAAGAAGATAAGGCAAAAATCCATTAAGTCCAGTCCAGAGAGGGTTCTCAAATAATTCCCTCCTCCTTTTTTCTAGGTCTTCTTGGAGTTGTTTAATTTTTGTGCGAACTATGCCAGATTTGTTAGCATAAAAACAGCACCTCTCCCCAAGGGCTAAACAAATTCCCCCTTGATTGGCAGTAAGCAAGTCTAAACCCCGCCTGTTCTGAAGAACTACTTCTGCTAGGGAGTCTATCTGGTCTTGTAAGTCTTTAATGGTTCCCGACAGGGTTTGCACATCATCTATAAGCTGTTGAGATAGGCGGCGGTAAGAATGTATAGCCGTACCCAATCCTGCCGTGCCTGTACCCACAGCAGCTGTTATTCCAAGGCCAACAAGGAGTGGTAAGGCCTGCACAGCTCTCTTGTGTCTTCTAACTAAGATGTCTAGGCTAGGAATGGGTAGGGGTTCATCTCCTGAGATAATCGTGATATCAGGAAGCAGTAATGCCAGAACGCAACCACCAGTCCAATTTGCTGGGAGCCTGGGAAAAGCTAAATTTCCACCACACATAAAAACTGTACCATTAGGGGGACAAATGGGCGGAGTAGGTGAGGAGTAATTCTTTACTAATGAGCAGTTTCCAAAGGAAGAGACTCCAACATCAACATCATAGGTATTATTTTGCATCATGCCTAGAAGGCATGACATAAAACCACCTAGAGGCTGCACCTTAAAGGGCAGCCCAGATTGACATGTGTTGTCATCATCAATGGTATAATTGATGGGAACCGCCAATGGCATGACTGCACCTGCCGTCATGCAGAGCCAGCAATCACCAGCAAGGGTAGGGTTGGAACTGTTAAGTAAAGAAAAGGTGGTTTCTAGGATATCTAATGTATTGGCATCTAAATCAGGAAACTGGGATTTGGGCAATATCAAGGGGTGGTATGTAGGCTTAGGGATCTCCGGCTTTAAAAGCTTAATCACCTGAAGGTGTTTAATAGCATCAGTGGGTCCCCCTCCGTCAGAGATTCCGATAGGGGCCTGCATGGGCCAGCAGGAGGGTTTACCCACGACGCCCTCACATCCCGCCTCCGTTAACCGAGTCGTGATGCCTTCCCCTCCCCGGTCACCAAGAAAAGGAATATAATTATAAGTGGTCCCCCATTCTCCACGGGTGTTAGTTAGGATGGCCTCAAAATACTGTTTTCCTTGATTATTAACACAAATTGAGGCCGATGTATAACAGGAGATGTGCATTGCCGGGGTGTAATGACAAGTGGCGGGACAGCTTCCAAGAGTCTCGGTCGGATTAGGGACAACAAGTCCGGGCTTATTAACACATACCCATTTTGGTTGCTTAAATCCTCCGATGTTTTCATTGAGTTCAGCCGCCATATAGGCTACTTTAGTCCCACAATCAATGCTCTGGATATAACCAGAGGGGGCCGAGTGCCGGGGCCCTCCCTTACACTCACAAGGGGCTCCAAAAAGATATTCATGAATATTCCCAGGTGGGGGGTCAAGCCCTCCTTCAGCAAACCTGTCCAGAAGGAATGCCACAAGAGGGGTCCAGCTCATGAGGTGTGTCTCGGCACTCACTTGAAGGGGTGAGAACAACAGCGGCAGGATCAGCCATCTTGGGAACTTCATTTTGTCTTGAATTTTCATTCACCGGTCTGGTGCAGCGCTCCGGGATCCAAATGGGCTTCTCAGTTCCTGGGGGAAAAACACATACAGCTCCCCTCACTCTAGCTAAGAGTGGAGCCGGGGGTTGCCACTTTCCGGTGGATAAATCTTTCCACCTTATTTGAGCATCTTGTACAGTGGGAGGGGAAAAGTGGCGTTGTGCAGCCGTGCGCCCTCCAGTGTCAGTGAGTAAAAAATTTAAAGTAAATAAGGTTATGCTTAGAAGTGCTTGTGGTCCCTGACAATTCCGGTATATCTCCCCCTCTTTTGTTTTTTGTAAATAAGTTTTTAAATGTTGATGGGCTCGTTCCACGATAGCTTGTCCCTGTGGATTATAAGGGATTCCAGTCTTATGATTAATTTCCCATTGGGTGCAAAACCGTTGAACCGCCTGACTTACATATGCGGGACCATTATCGGTTTTGAGGCATCGTGGGGTGCCCATGGAGGAAAAGGCTTTTAGAAGATGACTGATTACATCCTTAGCCTTCTCTCCAGTATGTAAGGTGGCAAAAATGAAGCCAGAATATGTGTCAGTGGAAACATGTATAAAGGAGAGCTTACCAAAGCTAGGGAAGTGTGTAACATCAGTTTGCCAGACATCATTAGGTTGTAGTCCTCTTGGATTAACCCCAAGGGAAGGAGAATGAATAAATGGTGCACAGGTTGGACATAATGAGACAATCTGTAAAGCTTGGTCTCGTGAACATCCTGTGTGGAAGCGTAAAGACTGTGCATTTA